GTCACTGATAAAAAGAGCGATCGGTCACACAGTAAAAGGGAGGAGAAACTATATACAGCATTTTACATAAGCGTACAAAGTGGTATCATATTAGAGACTAATGATTTGAGAAAAGATGATGCAGTGTGAAGTTGTACCTTCCGGTATATTTTACATCTAGAGTAAAATAAATAACTTTACTTCCACACACAAAAACAAAGATATAATAGTAAGATATTTAGGTTGGCTGTGTATTTACGATTACAAACAATTTCAGGTGACGGATGCCATAGTGCCTAACTGGAGCAGCTTCGATGCTCTCGGTGCATGAATGAATCGTGGCAAGCCGATATATTTTATCCTGCTCGAGGATAACATTTTGGGATTTTTTTTATAGTGATCAGATAAAAATTATTAGTAACCACCAACAAAAACAGTAGGTTAAATACCCCGTGAAGAAAAATGTGATAAATAAGATGTCCCTGCATTCAAAATGAGCAGTCCTTGGGAAATCAAATTCGGCACTTTACGCTAAGGTTTTCCTCGCTGTACCCATTTAATAAAGTTACTTCCAAGCAGATCCGACTGTCCGTGCTACATATACGTCACAGGTCCCTTCTGTTGATGACTTGCTGAGCCGCCACGCGTGCCAAGACTGAATGCCAGGGAAGGCGCGCACCGTCAGCCACTCATCTTTTTTTTTTGTTCACGATACCGAACAACCTCATTTTCGTCCAGATATACAAGATGCACGCCTTTCAGTTTCTTTGATAGAACGCTCACCATTGTCCTGGCCGTCTGAATTGCGCTTACTGAACGTTCTCTCAGGTTGTTCAGCGTGGCCTGGTGCTTCACGAGTCCGCCAACTCCGTCACATGCATTTTTCCCATGTCCAGATGCAGAAAATAACCACTGGACTTGTGGGCAATCGTCCTTTGCAAATTGGTGAAGCTGGTAGCAATTCTTGAAATGACTGGCGGCGCCGTCACTTACGTACGTCACGTACGAGTATACCGCAACGTTGTCTTCAACCCACTCCTTCACTTTTTCTAGAGCCAAGCAAGCGTGAGCGGCGTCATGACACAGGTCCTCACTGATGATGGCAAAGCTGTTTGTAGATTTTCTTGTCGTCACTACACATGTAAATATCGAAACTTGTTTTTTTTTCCAGTGATATGCTTGCACTTCGTCAGGAAGCACGATGGTCCAGTTTTCAGCAAAGTCAAAATGAAAGACAATGCTCCCGCGTTGCATGCACTGTTTTTCATCGTAGATCGCTTTACCTTGCGTTTGCCGGATATGGTTGTGAAGTACCCAACTTCCAACCGTCACTTGGATGACTTTTAGGAAAGTCTCAGGTTCCAAAGTTTTTTTCACAAGGTCGCCGGACTCCCATGTTGCAAGCACAACCTCTTCATCCTCTGGGATATCAAGCTCCTGGAGTGTAAGAAACTGGCCTTTTGGGCAGTGATCACAGTCTCCTTGAAGGCACAGTTCTGTTGCTGGGTCGCACAGAAATGCCGAGTTCATTTCACCAGTGTTGAATGTTGAGCCTGTAACGTTCTCTAGAGCGGCAATACAAAGATAATAATTGGCGCAGCGCACACAAACGCACACTTCCTGGTGTGGAATACATTGGACCCATCTAGGGCGCAACGAATAAAATTTCGTTAGCCCAACGCCGGAATCGGGATGCTTGTCTTTGTATATACGGAAGGCCTCTCGTATTGAGCGTGTCATGAAGCGCTTTGGCACAAACGTTTTCTCTCCGTTGAGCATGACAGAGATGACGTCCTTCTGGTTGGGACTTTGGCGCGAACATTGTAGCTCGTCTTTCGTGAAGTACTCTAGGGCAGCAGATAGGTTCTCAGGGCTCACCTTGCACCTCGTGTAAGGATCCGGCTCATACCACACGCCATGCTTTTCCTTGAGTTTTCGGGATTTACTGATGAGGTACATTGAGGCCTGTGGAATCATCTTTTGAACCTCATTCTTCGTCAGTGTTGACAGCAGGAGTGTAAGCAGTTGACAACGTTCCCGGAGAGAGGTGGCGGTTTCAAAGGCCTGCCGAAAGTTGTCCACCCACTCAGTGCATGTGGAGCATGTTGGTTCGGACGACCCCGATGGTGCGTCCCTGTCGTACGCAATACGCAGCCTTGAGCGTATATTCTTGACAGCAACCTGCTCCAGCTCTGTCTGCTTTCTCTTGACATAGGCAGGCCTGTCCCGACTTCTTACGACGCTTGGTTGTCTCAGCGGCGACACATCTGTAGGTAGTATGCTGCGATTTAGATCTTCAATTGCTTCTTCAGCTGGCACAAATATGTCAGGGCACTGCTCTGAGCTTCGCATCGAGATCTCCTTAGTGATGTGCCTGAAGCAATGGTAGCACAGGTAGTCCGTCGCACTCACTTTGGTGGAACAGTCAGGCGGAAGAATTTGCTTCAACGAGTTTAGGTCCAACTCGCCAACACTTCGAAAATTCCGCTGCTTTGGTATAGTCTTTTTGTGTTTGCAAAAGTAATCTGCACAAAACACTCGTTCGGAGCTCCAGGACGTCTTCATAATGTATACATAAATAATAGAAATTAAACCCCAACTGATGGCATATAATTGCCAAGTGAAAGAACTACTGGGTGCACAAGTGACAAGTCCGAGGCTGAGGAGCTCACTCACTGCAAACGTACATTTGAAAAGAGAGGTCACAACTGAGGCTGTCGGCAAAGCTTGATCCACGTCAAAGGAAGAAAGAGGGAAAGTCTCCAGACAAAAAATTGTGGTCAGCGGCCTTCGAAAAAGACTTTCCGGAATCGCACTGTCGTCCCTCCACGCGCTGATATGAAAGCACCCGAGCTTCTACCACGTGGTTCATGACACAGCCTGAGCCATGTCGGCGACCGGTTCGCGAGGGGTTGGCGGTGGGGTTACGTTGATGGTCACTCGGATTAGCCTTTGCTGTACTGAGCTACCGCCTGCAGTGCCTTATCGCCGGCTGGTGTAAACAACGAGAATACACACACCCTGTCTACACCACAAGCGTTCACCGTACACGCGTCGCCGCCGCTTTTAAGCTTTTGTGAAATTGCTTTCTTTTGCCGCGGAGAACCGCCTTATCTTAACTACGCGCCTGAAATCCTTCCAGGCGGGCGTACAAAATATCAAGCGTTTCGAGAAATGCCCGTGGAGTAGAACTATGGGAAAATTCGGAGCCCGCGATGTCGATATCGTCGCCGTTGTGTTAGTACGCCATCGCGTACTGCAGTCCCCCGTTGGGGGAGGGGGGGGGGGGGCGGTCTTACTACGATAACATGGCGACAGCGTTTACACTCTATGTATTTACGCGAGGCTCGAGTATTTGGGGATAATGCTGCCGGTTGGTGTGCCCCTTTGTGCCTGATATTATCGCCCGTGACGCCAGCGAGTGAGATGGCGACAGGCATGACTGCTCAGTAAACAGGCGTCGGCGGCCATGTTTTGCTGGTTGAAGTGAACCCCCTTATCCTTGACAGCGAGCGGGGAAATGCGAAAAAAAGATTGTATCGGCCGTTTTGCCAGAACTAGCGACGAGTGTCGTCTGCGGTTTCCGGCAACTATTTTGCCACAATCGTGAACTTAGCGAGGAAATGATTTTTGCTAGCCACAGAACACTACCACGCAGAAAGGGAATGCTTGAACATGTTTTTGTTCTGGATATATATCAGGGATATATATGAGAGAGAGAGAGAGAGATGAAGGTAGAGCGGAAGAGGGAATAGCATATAGTGTCGCAGGAGAATAAAGTAAACAAAGTTCCTAGTGGCCGATGGCTGCATAGTTTCTCCTTAATTTAAGTGTGTGAACGATTTCTTTAGTTATCATTGGCCTCATCTGAATAAAAATATATAAAAGATGTGTGTTGGTTTCATGAAACTGGAACTCAGAGTCAGTTCTTGTATAAAACACTGCTAAGTGTAGGCTTTGAAAAAGGACCCTACTTTGGGGAGTTGCATCTTCTTTCTCAATAAAATGATGCAACATGTTTTTAATGGAAATGAATGCCGAAATAGAGTATAACAGGTTACCTAAATTTTAAAAAAATCGAGGGTGGTGTTTTTTTTTTTATTCGCATCGGAATTTTTCTTTGTTTGATCATTTTTCCATGTTTGACTAAATATATCCTAACTATTGTATCACACAGATACCTTAGTTATTTTTTAAATATTAGCTATATATTAGTAGAATAATATCTGCAAATTATATCATAATGACTAAATTATTTCATGAGATACAGACCTCCAAAGTTTGCCATTTGTCGTTCGAGCAGGCATGTTTGTCAATTTTTAGAAAAATAAATAAATTTTAAATAAATATGATTACTTTATATTACAAGCAAGCTATACCCATAGTTTGCGCCTAAAACGTATTAGATTTCTCCTAATGTTATCGCTTTAGTTATTCACTCTCAAACGGGCCCCCTCCATCAGTGCGCGTTAATGCAACTGTCCACCACCTCATGCCTTACGATTTTTCCTGTCCCCAAGTATTTTTTCTCGTCAAAACTAAGTTTGGATTCGTTCATACCAGACACTAGACAATAACATATAAAAACATCAGTTGATTTGAAAATGTCGACTAGCCATCCTTTGGTCGATCTTATCTGAAATCACCCTTCTAATTACTTGAGAATATAATAGATTAAAAACTGCAAATGATGAAATGATAATGAAAACAAAACACTTTTTTTTCTAAAGACTGGATGACAACCAAACAAACAAAGCTCACACAAAGAATGGCTTGAAGTGCTTTCCAAAACAGAGAGTGTATCAATTAATATTTCTGTTTATAGAAATAATTGAATTAACCTGCCAATTGAGTCTACACATTGACTCAGCAACACCACGCAATCCAACCAAAATTTCAAGGGCCACACTATTACTCCAATCAATGATTAACAACGCAAAAAAGGCAAACACAAACATATGAATTATTGATAATTAAACTAACATTATTCCCGTCCCAAGTGAAACATCAAAATAGCTTACCCGAAATATCTTGTGAAAGTAGGCGTACTGCCGCGCAATGCTTCTGTGAAGCTTTAGAGCCTCATCTGCAATAAAAAAAATACTAAGTGCATCAATAGAAAGGGTTTTCCTTTTCCTCTGGCAATGGCAGTAGAATCTAGAACATATTTGCCTCTCTGCTCCACTGAAATTACAAACAGGGAAGGCCAAAGTAGACAAACAGGGAAGGCCAAAGTCAAACCAGCGCTGACATCAAATGTGCTCCCAAAGCATTAAAAAAGCGATGCAACAATATTCAAATGGAATGCTTTACACTTTACACGAGCTTACTGGCACTAGTGGGACTCAAGGATATTCGCACGCAACGCCACTGGCCAAGAAACTCCGTTGTTGCGGTGTAATCTCAAAAACAAAAGCGATAATTTTCATTTAATATCTCATTTGTAAAATTTGACGACGTAGCATGGGGATCGCAGTACACCCCAATGACGATATTTGAATGCGGTTCATAGATTGTACCCGAGAATCGCATGGGCACTTGATTTGGACACGTGATAATTACTAGCTCGAGAAGCAGTCGGGTAGTGGCCCGTGTCCAATCGCTGCAACGACGACAATAGCCGAGCCAGCCGAGCCATAGCAATCTCTAAAACTCAGCGCGTGTCCTGTCCTTTGCCAACCCCAGCGCGCGGCTATGATCAACATTGGCGGCATATAATCGGCTCCAAATCCTGTGGCCGCTTGTTCTGGCTGCGAGTTGAGGGGGTGAACGCTGCTCGTTTTTCTTTAAGTTTTTTTTCTGGGACTTCTAGTGCATGGGGTAAAAAACGAATACGTGTTTCATAGGTCATTAACGTCAGGGATCCATTCTAAGGGGTATTCGCGCAAAGTACAAAAATTGTCGCATCGCCCCTTTAAGCGATAGTGGCAACCAACTTATGATGTTATGAAAACAATCGGAGAGCACATCGATCATATGTTGGAAATCCGACTAAAAGCGTTTGGATTAGAAATAGTTGGTTCCCAAGGAATCTCTTTTTAGAAACGCCATTACTAGAAACGAGAAAAACTTTGCAAGGAATGTCTCAAAGTGTCCAATGCACCCGACGCAAAACTTAGGGCAAATTTGTGCGACGTGGTCTAAGAAGAGCACGAGGCTCACCGAGCACTGAGGAACCGGTGAGAAGTTGCAGCTCGTCAACCGAGAAGTAGAGGACCGTGTTGAACGAGCGCGGAAGGATTGCTGTCATTGTGAGTCAAAGAGGACGTACGATAAATGCAGGCGTATTGTCGTCACAAAATATCATGCAGACATCATTATGGCAGATAAAATGTCATTACGCGTTGTGGGGGCAGACAGCAGCGAGGGTGAAATGCATCACTGTGGCCCAATAGTAGAGATCTTTCACAATGTTTGAGTTGTATGAAGAGCTGTGTCATTTTGTTTGACCGCGGTCAACCCAGGACTCAACTGCTGGGTATGGAACATTTGTTTCGCAATAAAGTTTTAACAAGAAAATTTATTCGTCTCTCCTCCTTTCTGCGCATCTGAAGTCTGCAATAGCAGTAGGATCCCTCTCAAGACTTAAAAAATAAAAGCTGGTGCAAGCACCATGCGTCGAGCCAGTGCAGTATTGTTGACAGCCCTATTCAGCAAGTCAAGATGTTTTTTTACGATGTGAACACACAAATTAACTATAAATCACTCTTTAATTATTAATTTCTGTGCAAATCCCCCAATACAAAAGTTGTAGAGTGTGTTGAGAAACATCCCATCGCGTTATTGCCAGCAAGGTAGACATTGTGTGCCTACTTTCTTTTTGTAGCTTTAAAAAGGCACACAAGATTTTTTTTTTTTTTTAACTTTGTGACTAAGGGCACCAACATCCCAGATTGCTACGTGGGTTATGTTATGCGATGTGGGTTACATGTGCACAAAGGCACACCAGAAGTTAGCATTCCCCCAGAAGGCTTCTTAGACAAGCAAACGTAGTTGTACAATTAATCGCATATAAATATTATGTGTCCTATATTGGAGTACCCGGGTTGCGTACGAGATCCTCACAGAAAACAGCAAATCGTACAAAACAAAGCAGATAGAAGCTCTTGCACTTCGGTTAACTATTTCTGAATACGGACGGACGGAGTAAGTCACAGCATGGAGAAGTGAGGTGCGGCTTGATCGTATAGAATAAAAAAGAAAAACTTCTAGATTTAAAAAGTTATAAGCTACGACAAATGGCTTAAGATTAATCTTGAACTGTGCATTCACCCTTAGTGTCACGCTCCAAGAGGACGAGCAATAGTAAAGCATTTGCTCGGTTCCAGCACAGAAATCACATTTTTAAACACCTCTTTTTTCTTTTTGGGCAGAGCTGAAGTTCTCAATTATTTATTTTCCAGTTGAACTAATTGCTCAGTTAAACAATTTGAGTGCATGTCTGAATAAATGTAATGCATATTGTTTTAGTTTAAATTTTGAGTGCATGATTAATATTTGTGGTCTTTTTCTGCTTTAGAGCGCAGCTCTTAGGCACCCATTTACGGGTTTCGTGGCGTCGGCGTAAAAGCGCTAAATGTAGCAGGAAAATTGAGGTCACGTGACTTCAACACCAGTTCCATTCCCCACTAAATTTAGCAAGGAATTGAATTGGTGTTGAGGTCAGGTGACGTCAAGTTTCCAGCTAAATCTAGCGAAGAAACTGAATTTGTTCATAGGTGACGTCATTTTCCCCACTAAATTTAGCAGGGAAACTGAATTGGTGTTGAGGTCACTTGGCGTCAATTTTTCAGCTAAATTTAGCGTGGGAACTGTGGGGAGAGGAGGAGGGGAGGGTACAAAGGATTGGAGGGTGTGCAGGAGGAGGAGAGGGGAAGGAGGAAATGAGTAGGGGAGGAGGAAAGGGTATGGACGAGGAGGAGAAGCGTACCCTCCCTCTGTACCCTCTCCTCCTCTTCCTCAAGAGCTGCGCTCTAATTTTGTATTACAGAGACTTGTAAATGTCTTTTATTTCTTACCCTCTGTGTAGACTGTAAGGTCCACACTATTTCACATAAATAATTAATAAACAAACAACGTGAAGAGGCGTTTCTAAACCTGCTCTATCATTTTTGTATTGGAGGGTTTGCACACAAATTAATATTTAAGAAGTTAGCTAATTAGTCCAGTTAATTAGCCAGTATGACACAACGTAAAAAATATCTTGACTCGCTCAATAGGCCCATGAAAAATACTGCATTGGTGCGACAAGCATAGCGTGCATCAGCAGTTTTTAGAACTTGGCACAAGTTAGCTGAAAACACCCTGTATAAAATAATATGAGATAAATAAACAGGCCACCTGTCAGGCATATCGAGCCAGCCTGGCAAGAGCGAACAAGATGCCGAAAAGGATACAGATGTAAGGATGCCAGAAGGATGCACTGCCGGAGCACAGTTCGAGGATAAGGAACATGGACAGCGCCACATTCTCCATGCTCTTCATGATGGGGTCGTCTCTCAGGAGAGCGCCGAGCTTCGACTTGCGGGCTCCGATGGTCGTCATCATCATCCCCAGGGGTACGCCCAAAAACTGGTCACCCTCCTGTCAGAACGACCAGAAGAATGCCACACACGCCATGGTGACTAGACAGATAGATGGATGAATGCGGCTGAATCCTTGGAACCATGCAGTGACTTGCGCCACCTGGCTAGATCTTTTATAGTCAACCGACACTAACGGTGACTAGGGAAAGACCTTTTTTTCTGGCTCCTCTCACAGCCATACGTTTTGAACACCATGTGCTGCAGGCTTTCGGTGTGCCCACAAACGAACAAACAACTTCGTGATTTCGGGCAGGCCGTTACGGCTTTATGCCTGAATGAGGCATTGCAGGAACAGGTACAAGACTTCATTCATGGCGCAGTGAATATTCGCAACAACCAACGGCCAAAACGTTAAGCAAGTCAGAAAAAAACGTTTCACTAGAATTGCGAACCAAGGTGGTTAACAGTGAAATATCCCAAATTCATTTTTTCACACCAAGTTTCCAGTAAAAGTAGCTTTAAAATTAGGTTATAAGAACCGATACATAAAAAGATAATGCAACATGCCAAGGGACCGCAGACTGGGTAATTAGGCCAGTTGGGTAATAGCAACAGGCAGAAAAGGTGCCGAAAGAGACAACGACGGGGAAAATTAAACGAAATAAAGTGCTGTGATTTGTTTATCTTATCTCGTCCTTGTCTCTTGTGGTGTCTGATCTAAGCATCAATGTGTCAAATGAACTTCATATGAAAAATTTCATTAAAATCTGAGACCCACGCGATTAAACTTGGTACACGATGTCAAACTCTCTGAATCAGGCCTTGTGCCGAGAGACCAAACAAATTGCCAACAACGGGTCCCACCTGAATATCCTGTTCCGCAGCGAAACCGTACTCGTCGTCAGGTAGTGCCTGGAGGGTGATGCCATTAGTGGTAGCCCCGTTGTCCAGACACCACTTAAAAAAAACTGGCCACTTGTCGGCTCGATCTGGTAGTTCAGGTGTCAGGCCTAGCATGGACAAAGAAAAAGCCATGACTCTTCCAATGTCACAAAATACACCAGTAGAAAAAAATTAATAAAAGGCTTTTGCTCTGTTTAGGCATGAATAATGGATCTAAGGGGGGAAACTGGCCAAGTAACCTTCTAGGTGACATCACCTAACAAGAGATTGAAAAAGCGTGCCTATGTCTGCTGTTATAAATACAGCCCAAACAAAATGCCACAGATCATTATGGTCACGTAACAGTTGATTCCCAGGCAATTCGACAGGTCCACAATATAAACATACTAAATAACAGAAGACATAAAAGGTAAAGACGACCTGTTGATATTTTCTCTCTTCTACACCTTCCCCATGCGAGAAACTAAATAGAGATGGTGCTACTATAAAGATAGAGCTGACCACTCCATTTGATTTCTTTTCAGTGAGCAAGTCACAATTTCACGAGAAAACACTGAAGCTTTTGTGCAGACCATGCAGCTTCCATCCGACCGGTCATGGCGTCACGTTCCCGTGACCTCAACATTGTCAACAAGTTATTTCTCCTTATTAACCTTCAATGAGGAAACATCTAGCCTCTAAGCTTTGGTGTCTTATCGCAAATGTAACGGCAAAATAGCAACACAAATGCACAAATGCATAAATGTAATGGCGTAATAGCAACAGAAGTAGAAGTAAATTCCTGTTGTGCAAAACAGGAACTTACTTCCACATGTTTGAGAAAAATAAACAGTGTTTAATCAGTTCATTGACACTGTAATCAAACTGAAGTGAAGCGTTACTGTAGTCCCTGACAATATGAGAACGACAGAGCATGTCTTTCAAAAGCCTGATGTCCAGCATGCGCTCCCTGCCTTCTGCCGAGCTATGGCCTTGCGATAGCACTCAAGGTGCATGAGACGACGAAGCGCCATTGAAGGTCGGAAGCTCGCACTGGAGGCGGGACAACTGTAGCTCCTCCCTGCCGTTCTCACTATGACAGTGACCACAGTCGAAGACATCCAAATATTTGATAGGCATATAAAAACTCCACTGTTCACGGGACTATGGGACGCTGCTATCATGCTGACAGCATCAACAAGCAACTCACTTTTAGCACAAATTACCTGCGGAATTCCCATGTAACCATCATAATGTTTCCTGGATGTTCTCAAGACATCAAACGGTCCCATTTATGTCCTACAGGGGCCTACGGGACCAATTGGATCCCCCAGCCGAAAACTTACGTTTCTCCAACTCCCTGACTTTTTCCAGGAGGCTGCGAACTTCCAGAAAGTCTTCCCATTCTTTCTTGGCATTTCCGGAAGGTAATGTGGTGCACTCTAGGAAAAAAATAATCACAATGATAAGAAATAAAGTGACAAATTTATTCACGCATCATATTCCGAAAGTTTGAAGCAGGCAACTTAAGGGTTGGCTCTCACATTTGCGTCCGAGTGCAACTGACCGCATTGTGACCGGTCGTAACTTCTTGGAACGAGCGTAAAGTGCCAGATGGATTTTATTAATCTTAAAAGTGCCACCAAGCTGGCGCACGCGGGGCACACCTGAGTGAAAAATGGCGGTGCGTCGGCGCTGTGTAATGTGTCGCGGCGGCACGGCGACGGCATCTACTGTAGACCAATGGGAGCATGCTTGCAAATAACGGTGCATCACCACCAGCCACAGCAGACTAATGCAGAGAGCAAGTCGTCTGCTTCTTGCAGAGGAGTTGAGGTGACGTCAGAACAATGCTGAGCTCTGATTGGCTTTGATGAAAGGATAGTGGGTAGACCTCAATGCTCGGTGCCCTGAGGTCTACCCACTATTTTTTTTTATATCAGCCAATAAGAGCTATTCGTTCCGACATCATCGCAACCCCTGTGCAAGAAGCAGACGAACTTGGCTCCGCAAAGGGGCGTGCGCGTCTGGATGTGGACTACTCCACGAGTCAAAAATGGCAACGCGTCACCAGCATCCACTAGGAGCGCTCATGGCACTATCAAACGATGGCGATACGTGGATTCGTCAGGATATCCAGCACTTTTAGAAAAGAGAACACACTAGCGGCATCTATCGGGCAGTTCTTGAACATTTTTCGTCTCCACGCATTTCCTAAGTTTTTTTTCACGGATCACTACTTTACTTCGGGCTTGAAAGAAGTTTCGTGAAGTTATAAGTAACCATTTCTCGTATGCGGTATGTAGTACATTCCATCGCGAAAATGTTGCAAAACCCTCGGTCTACCTATACACCGCAAGTCGGAAGAGTTTCAGGACCATGCAATAGATGGCGCCAGCGTGCCAGTGTGTGTTCTGGGTAAGCGCTCGGTCAGACTCAAACGCAGAAGTCTGTGAGCCAAGAAGAGCTCAAATTGTAAACAGTGATAGCCCGTGTATCTTGTGAACATAAAGAATGCGAATCGAGTCATTCGGATGAAAACTCCTGCCACAGGAACAGCGATCGAGCTCCATTGAGAAAAGGTTGCGCTGAACGGCAGAACTATCGTGGAGAGTCCCGATATTAAAAATGGGAAATACTAGTATTGACAAAAAAAAAAAAAAAGAGAGAGAGAGACTTACTGTCTAGTACTTCATCCAAGAGTTCCTTCAACTTCTGTGCGTCTTGCGAGGCCAATTTCTTGGAACCTTTTTTGCCGGTTCCCCCCATCGAGTAATGTGACGCCGGCGAAGGATCACTGTCAAAGGAACACAACAGTGGAATTAAACAAACAGTAGGAGGCCACAAACGTGGGCTCTTTCGGCACGTACACTTCTCGCATCGATAAATCGAGATCCATATTAAAACAATAGCTGAACAGTAAGCATGAAAACACGCGTGTGAGGACACTTGATCGTGGTCGCGGCACCTCCCAAAAAAGGAAACATTAGGAGACGTCGCAAAACGGATTCACGAAACGTGAAACAACCAGATTCATCGGGTGAATTGAAGCAAACTTGCCTAGGACAGGTCTGGGATTAATTACGGGGAACAAATGCACGTCGATCGTTCAAGTATTGCCCCAAAAACAAATGAGCGGACACACTTTAAATGGCAACACACATCACACAAACACGCAAACGAAATTTAAAAACAAGGTTGCTGCCATCTGCCGCGTTATCACGTAGGCGCTGGGTTAGAAGCTCCCCAACTACATACTAGATGGCGCCACGCGTCCAGCATCAGTCCAGCATCAGAAGGAAAAGCGCGAGATACGAGCCTAACGGTTGGTTTTCGGGGTCTTCCTTTTAACCGTCGCGACTTGCTTCACGCCGTACTTTTTTCACACGACCGGCCACCCCGAAGCTCGACTGACCTCCGTTGCACCGCTCCACTCGGCCGAGGCGCCGAAGACGTCGCCGACATATCGCCTACTCCGTATCCTTTGGTCGGCCCCCGGCCCGTCGATACCAGTTTGCTGTCCACGCAAATGGAAATATGTCCGCTGAAAAAATGGCCGAGATGAAGGTTTTTGACCTTAAAAGGGCACTAAAAGCCCGTGGACTTCCTACCTCCGGAAACAAGAAAGAACTCATTGAGCGTCTACAAGCTACTGCGTGTTCCCCTACAGATACCATACGAGATATTCATTGCAGCCTGGAGTTTTTGAGCAACACCGCTGTCAGCGATGAAGACGAAGTGTTCCCTCCGGAGAGCTTGGATATCCCCACTGCGGGCAACAACGGTTCAGAAGTGGCCATGGACAGCACGGAGGAGCCATCGGCCGCAGGAGAAACTTCTACTCCCACGTTGCTCCCTACCACACGCTTCCTGCCTGTAAACACGATGTCCAATAGTGTGCAGCACCTTGTCGTGTCAGAACCCCAGGTCAGCGGGCACTACCAGCCAAAGGCAACGACACTGGTTGACGTACATGCGGCCTGTACCGCCGCCAATCGGCAAGCCGACGAGCCCTCTCAGGGTGCTACGCCGACCACTGCCACTCGCGCCGCGACGCCCGTCTTGACGCCAGACTCCGCCCGGACTTCCCAAGCCACCGTGAAGAGTACCAACATTGCAGCGGCTGCTGAAGACTCTGCTGCAGCTGTTGATGACAGCATTAGTAGTGTAGACTGCGGGTCGTTGGAGCTGAAGGCAGACGCGAAACATGACGACACGAATCAAAGATATCCTCTCACATGCAATGTATGTGCCGAGATGTACAAAATGAGGGATGCACACGAAAAAAGACTCGAGGAACTAGAGGCTCAGATAGGCGCCCTGTCAGTACGCCTAGACCGAGCATCGGACGGGCGCAGGCTGTCTGAAGTGACTAAGAGGATATCGACACTTGAATTCAGGATAAACGAGGCGGCGAAGAAGAACGAAGCACTGCAAACACTAGTGACAGCGCTCTCAGGACATGCAGTAGCAGCTGGACCGACAGGAGATTCCATGGTTACAGAAGATGGGACAAGCAGCGCACCATCGGAATCTGAAGGGGAGAACCAGATGAGTAGTGAAACAGAACTGCATCACAGTGCGATGACATTGAACGATGCGACGAATGCTGGAGTAGACAAGCAAGGAAACGCACTACAGGACGACCGTCCACAGGATGCCGGTACTGCCATAAATAACACCAATAACGTGACAGCGCACACTGACACGCAGTGTGACGAAGTCCCAAGCAAAACTTCAAGTGGAGTCACACACATGTCCATTCAGGAGATTCACGTGCCCGTGGCTGCAAAGAAGCTGACGCATGAGGATGTTCAGATCCGACCGCCACGAGGGATCACACGAGAAGTGATAATCGCAGGAGATGGGAACGTCCTGCGGATAGCTCGAGCTCTCATCGAGGAAGTCCAAGCACCTCAAAGCATGGAGTTTATAACGAACAGGGGAGCCACAACTGAGGTAGTACATAAAATTATCGAAACATATGAGGAAAAAGCGAGGAATGTACCACGCATGTATATACTGCACGTGGGGTTGAATGACGTTCTGAAGGGCGAGCAACCTGACACAATTATAGAGCGTCTGAGGCTACAGTGGGCCAAACGTAAGGCATCACTAGCCATCTGCTCAGTACCCGAAATAGACGGCAGAGGAAAGGAACTACGCGCTACGACCATGCTCCTGAATGCAAAGCTGAAGCAGCTGTGCAAGAGAATTAGAGCAAGGTTTATCGACCTCAGCCGAGAACTGGCCAGCATCCCAGCAATGCAAAAGGACGGGCTTCACTACTGCAGAGAAGGTAGCCAGGTGCTAACCGACCGAGTGGGTGCATTAGTGACTCATTTTTTAGGACTTCAAAGAAGGGACAATTTCAGCGACCATACTGGGAGCAACAGGAGACGATACGGGACGCATTCCTCAGTAGTAAACCGGTCAGAGGCAGAAAAAAAAGCACTCGCTCACGACCTCCCAGGTCTGTCTTCTGGTCCCAGAACGAGTGGAGCACACCGGGTGGTGAACACGCCTCCAATATCAAAGGAGACTGTACAGAAGCCGGTGCCCAACATTCACGGTCCTGTGTATCCCCTACAATGCCAGAGGGACCATCCGCCACAGTCGTCACCTCTGCACGCAATATGGGTGCCCCCACTCCTCAAACCACCCAACGGACATCTTCAAGGACAAAGCTGTGGGGCACTCCCATCGAGGACAGGCAGTCAGGAAGGAACGTTTGCTCTAGGGCCTACTGCGAGACAGACCTTTCCTGTGTGCAACCCAATGCTGACCGACTTGATGACCGGATGCCTTCAGCACCCCACATGTGCCCCATCACAAGAGCTGACGCACTTTGTGAATCAACTGGTCCGAGAGCAACTAGCAGCCATGCAGCTTCAGCGGGAGTGTTGACCGAGTTTCTGGCGCGGCGGCAGCAAGGGCAACCACGGAAAAGAGACAGTGCTGTCGTTGGCTTTTTAAATTTGAATAGTGCGAGGCGTCAACGAAAGTGGGCTGAGCTCTATGTAGTACTCCGGGAACAAGGCTTTTCTTTGTTCGGGGTTGCTGAAACACACTTGCGGGACGCTGAGGAACCCCCAGTAGACCCTTCCTGGTGCTGGACTGGGTGTAACAGGGTGGAGGGTGACCGACGGGGAGGTGGTGTGGGCCTTCTTTGGCCAAGTGGAGGACAAGCATGGATAAGGATATCTGAAACGTGCTGCGAACACCTGTGGGTTCAAGGACAGGTGGGTAACATACTGACGGCGGTATGCACCCTTTACCTTTCCGTGGGAAATTCCAGGCATGAGGAGAATAAGGCCATACTGGAGTGCGTTCAACGTGACATCGAAAACCTAGATCGAAGATTGTCTGTGCTAGTTATGGGGGACTTTAATGGCCATCTGGTTGAGATTGACGGGCGTGAGGACGACAATGGCCGAATGCTGAGACAGCTGTCGGAGGAGTTCGACCTGGAGATTCTAAACCTCAGAGAGGAATGTGAGGGGCAACACACATGGATGGCCCGGGACCGACGAACATGTATCGACTATGCCCTGGCATCAAAGAGGCTCGCACGTCGCCTTCAAAAAATAACTGTAGATGAAGATGGCGAGTGGAGTATTGGCAGCGATCATAACAGCATCATACTTCATTTTGGTGCAATCCAACGACAACGCAGCCGGCCGAAACGTAAAATGACGTTCCAATTACGTGACTGTGATATTGAGGCAGTATGTCAGGAGTTCGAAGAAAGTGATAAGCGCATAAATGCCCTCATCTATGATGACTATGCCAATGCACTTCGGCAGGCAATCACCACACGGTCGATTATGAGAGGCTCAAGCGGGAAAAGACGGCTTGTATCGTGGTGGGATGCTGAAATCCGAAGATCCATCCAACTCAGGCAAGACGCAAGCCGAGACCATCGCCGGGCTCTGCGGACGCTTGGAAAAGCACCGGAGACTCTGCGACTCTGGGAGGAATACCAGAAGCTCAAGGCAATAACACAATCTATCGTCGAGGAGAAAAAACAGATACATGATTGCAAGGTGATGAAAGATATCAGAAAGGGTGGAAAAAGAGCCGGAGAGAAGTTCTGGCGTTATATTGGAACACTGGATGGAAGAGATAATTCTCCCCAACTGATCGATGCCAAAAATGGAGGTTTAGTGCACAACGTTAGAGCTCTCTTGGATGAACACCTTCACAATCTTTTTGGGACGACACAGGATTTCCACGGTAATGAGAGCGTGTCGGCAGGAGGCCCTTATATCAAAGATCCACCGCTACTTAATTTGACGAGTGACAACACCACCATCGTGGGAAGAGTACAGGTCGCACGCGCTCTCGCGCGGTTGAACGGCGGCACTGCGCAGGGCCTGGACGGAATCCCGGCTAAGGTACTGAAAGGCCTGGGACCCGACGCTCAAGAGCAGTTGGCCCACTTGTTCAGTCGCATATGCTGCGGAGATGACCCGATCCCCACTGACTGGAGGCGCGGTCGAGTAACCTTCATCTCGAAAAAAGGTGGAAACAAGCAGCTGTTGCATGACTACCGACCGCTCACCGTCACGCCAGTTGTATACAGAGTATTCACGACTATCATCAATTGGCGAATCACAGCATGGGCTGAGGGAGCCGGCGTGTTTACGGAACTGCAGAACGGGTTTCGAGTTGGGCGGCGGTTGGACGATAACCTGTTTACATTGACCCAATGCATCGAGATAGCGCGAGTGGAGAGGCGACCTTTGATATGCTGCTTTCTAGACATTGCTAAAGCGTATGATTGTGTCCCTCACCTAATGCTGCTGGAAAGGCTGAGACACCTTAATATGCCCCAAACATGGGTGAGGTTGATCCGTCGGTTATACGACGGCAATGTGGTGACGACATCCTTCAATGGTGTGACATCAGGCGAGGTCACAGTTGGAAAAGGTTTACGACAGGGCTGTCCGTTGTCGCCGACGCTATATATGCTATATGCCTCTAGCATGGAAAAGGCCATTGAAGACAATGGCATTGGTTTCACTTTGGAACACCGCCAGCATGGTGATATTGTAGCGTGGCGACTCCCTGGCCTTGCCTATGCTGATGACCTCGTGCTGATGGCCGACAGTGTGGAAGACATGAGGAGGTTGCTCGTCGCCTGTGAAACTGCAGCGGAACACCTCCGACTACGCTTCAATGCTGGCAAGTCAGCGACAGTCATCTTT